GAGATAGTCAAAGTTATGTGGCTAGGTATGGATGAAACGTTGTAAGAATAAAAATAAAATAAAATTGGCCACTAGGAAATCATTATAATGTTCTTTTGCTTTGAGAAAGGGAGACATCAAAATACAAAGACATAAATTTTAAAAACCTATCAGAAAGTGGCTATTTCTGAAATGAACAAGACAAGTCAGGTCACAGCCAATGTTAGGCTAAAAGCAGAACACAGGAGTCTTGACAAGAAGGGGCTGAAGATAAGCTGGGGGCATCCTGTGTTAACCAAACACATGACATAAAAATTCAGTATGCCCCTAATAAATGAAAGTTTTCCAATAAAAGAAGCTTGCCCCATGTGATATTTGTCATGGTACTTAGAAAAATGGTTATTTCTAAGCTAGTGAAACGTGTCCAATGAAAGAAAAGCCTGAATTACCAACAGGTAGTAGCATCACTCACATGCAGGCAGAGATAACGGCAAGTGTCATTTAAGACTCTTCTGAAACTTCATGCCTTAAGGAGTAAAGATAGTTAATCTAGGGTTAGCAACTGCCTTCAGTGAAGAGGGAAATAGTAAATAATTAACAAAAAGATAAAGTCAGGAGATAAGGCTAAGAGAGAGAGACTGAAAGGTTAGAGGACAGTGAGGTTTGGAGACTTGAAAAACAGAGGAGTGAGTTTGAAGATTAAGTGGAGACAAACGGCACACAGGAAACAGAAATTCCCAAGTGTGGAAGAGACCAGACAGCTGAAATAAGGCTATTTAAACATAGGTGAAAAGTCACTCTAAAATTCAGATGATGAGAAGTTGAAAATATCAACCCCATATATCAAGAATGATGCTTCTCAAACTTTACTGCACAGAAGAATGTCTCATGAAACATGTAAAACTGCAGATTTTCAGCAGACTTCAGCCCCACCCCAAAACTTCTGATTGGCTGGCACTGTCCCCTCAGATGTGAAGAAAACCTGCTCAGACCTCATTCAGTGACATATAAGCACCATCTCCAACTACCTCAAGGAATGGTTACTAAAGCAGAGTCAAACAAAATTTCATTTTAGTTCACATAAACATGAGAAAGCAATCTAGCAGTTTTAGGAATATACTGGGCCATATCAAAGGATACACATAAGTATATGGTGTTAATGACCAATATATTGGGAAAGACCAGTCTCGTGAATTAATACAACTTTGAGCTTTTAGAAAAGCTTTTTCTGCATTTAAAGCATGTTATAGCTAAGAAGGCTTTTTTGCGTAAATACTTAGAAAAAGGAAAAAAATCACTCCGAATATAATTTCTACAAAAGAAGCTTCTTAGAAGAAAATGACTCTAGGTAGATGTTGAAGAAAATCAGAAATAAATATTTGGAAAGACTTCAGTGATATACAACAGAGAGATGAGAAAAGGTTTTCAGGTAAGCTTACTGTACCAATGGAATTAGGCAGGAGATTGAAAGTAAAAGGATGGAAAATGGATGACAAGTAATACTGAATGTAAAATAGAGGGACTTGGTCCACGGGTGGGTGCTGGCTCAAAGTAAGGCAAATGCTAGCCTGACATGGGCAACTCTTTTTAGGAAGGAAACTCAAAGGGAAGAAAAGGCTGAAGATGTTAATGTGTAGGAATAAAAGATCTGAGGCCAGCAAAATCAACTTAATCAGAAAAAAACTGAGATCTTAGATTAAGAGTGATATGATCCCCCCAACCAGTGAGAACAAGCAAAGTTCGGAACAAACGGCCTACGCTCTCTTTCACCCTCTAGTCCACACAGAGTTCTGGTCCTCACCACAGTGCCTTAGGGAATGGAGCTCCCAGGATGCCCACTTGAGCTGGTTCTCCACAGCATCAAGCTCAGAACTTGGTAATCCCTGAGCTTCTTCTTGAGATACCATGTCTTCTACTAGTACTTCCCGTTTTCGTCGACGGAGAGAAACCTGGAAACAGAAAGATGTGATTCAGAGAAGGAACTGTAATGAGAATCAGAACTAAAAACATGTAAGAGAAACCCCATAAAACAAATATTGCAGAAGCCTAGATGGCAAAGAAGCACAGATAACAGGGAGTGGTAGGGGCATGGGGGAAAAGGTATAAACCTAATTCTAATTTAGTTGAGTGGAATTAATTCAGCAGCTTTGCCTACTACTATGCCAGTGCTTCTGACCCAGGAAATGACACAAGCAGGCTCACCGGTTGTCCAGGGTCATCAAGTTCACTCTCCAAATCCTCCAGCACTGTCACTGCCTCCTCTCCATTCTCTGGATGATGATCTCGAACCCAAGTCTGTAGCTCTTTGGGTAGGATGGCAACAAACTGCTCCAGCACTACCAGCTCCAAGATTTGCTCTTTTGTGTGCGTCTCTGGCCTGAGCCACAGACGGCAAAGTTCTCGGAGCTGGCTCACAGCCTCACGGGGCCCAGGTGAATCCTGGTATCCAAACTGCCTGAATCGCTGTCGGAAAATCTCTGGGTCTGGGAGATGGTTCCAGGGGATACTTGATCCCTCTTCGCCATCAGGATCCTCCTCCAACTTCACTCTCAGAATTTTTTCCTCTTCATCTGGAGTTGGGATGATAAGTATTGAATCTTCTTCCACTGACTGTGCAGACATTCTGATTTATAATATTTCAAGAAAATACAACTGAGGCAGAATATAAGCCTCAGGGCAATACCCCGTTTTCTTCACAGGCACTCCTGAGGCACAAGAAATAAAAGATATATAAATAAGCAAAAATATCCTAAGAATTTGGACTTACACTGGTAAAAGTAAAAGATACTTGTTCTTTGATGGAGTTAAAAATTCCAGTCAATAACCTACACTAGGAATTGGCAAACTACAGCTTCGCGGCCAAATCTAGCCTGTCACCCATTGCTGTACAACTCTTGCACCAATAATAATTTTCACATTTTTAAATGGCTGTGGTCTTCACCACAGTGCCTTAGGGAATGGAGCTCTCTAAAATCAAATGAATACCTAATGATATTTAGGGAATGGAGCTCCCCAAAGTCAAATGAATACCTCATGACAAGTGAAAATGATACGAAATTAACATGAATGTGTCCATAAAAAATTGTACTTACTCATACTTCACGCTACAATAGCAGAGTTGAGTAGTTTCAACAGACTAGATGGCCTAAAAAAACCCAACACAGTCATGCACTACAAAATGATGTTTGGAGGCCGGGCGCGGTGGCTCAAGCCTGTAATCCCAGCACTTTGGGAGGCCGAGACAGGCGGATCACAAGGTCAGGAGATCGAGACCATCCTGGCTAACACGGTGAAACTCCGTCTCTACTAAAAAATACAAAAAACTAGCCGGGCGAGGTGGCGGGCCCCTGTAGTCCCAGCTACTTGGGAGGCTGAGGCAGGAGAATGGCGGGAACCCGGGAGGCGGAGCTTGCAGTGAGCTGAGATCCGGCCACAGCACTCCAGCCTGGGCGACAGAGTGAGACTCAGTCTCAAAAAAAAACAAACAAACAAAAAAATGATGTTTGGGTCAATGAAGGACCACATAGATGACAGTGCTCTCATAAGATTATAATGGAGCTGAAAAATTCAAGATTCACCTAGTGACACTGTAGCTGTTGTAACGTTAATGCATTATTCACATGTTTGTGGTGATGGTGGTGTAAACAAACCTGTTGTGTTGCCAGTTTAACACATACAGTTATGTATGGTACATAAAACTTGATAACAACAATAAACGACTATGTTACTTGTTTATGTATTTACTATACTTTTCATACTATACATTTTAGAGTGTGCTCCTTCTACTTATTAAAAAAAAAGTTAACTGCAAAATGGCCTCAGGCAGGTCCTTCAGGAGCTATTATAGAAGGCACTGTTATCACAGAGATGACAGCTCCATGCACGTTACTGCTACTGAAAACCTTCCAGTGGGACAAGATAGGGAGGCAGAAGGCAACGATATTGATAATCCAGACCCTGTGTAAGCCTAAGCTAATGCATGTGTTTGTCTTAGTTTTTAACAAAAAAAGTTCCAAAAGGAAAAAAAAATAAAAACTGGCTAGGTGCAGTGGTTCACATCTGTAATCCCAGCACTATAGGAGGCTGAGGCAGGAGGATCACTAAAGACCAGGAGTTCAAGGCTCCACTGAGCTATGATCGCACCACTGCATTCCAGCCTGGGCAACAGAGTGAGACCCTGTCTCTAAAAAATGAATTTAAAAATAGCAAAAAGCTGGGCCTGGCGCAGTGGCTCACACCTGTAATCCCAGCACTTTGGGAGGCTGAGGCGGACGGATCACGAGGTCAAGAGATCGAGACTATCCTGGCCAACATAGTGAAACCCTGTTTCAACCAAAACGAAGGTTTGCTTTATTTTATGTGCTTAAAAAAATTTTACCACTTAAAAAATAAGGTATTTAAGAACTCCTTGGACTTAAAATATATGTGGAAAAAATGTTCACTTGCTGAGTAACAGATCACATAATATTGAAAAGATCATATGTGAAAAACATCACATATTTCGAAAAATTATCTTGCACATAATACGTAAATATTCAGTCTTCCACCACACCATACGTACATTTATATTTATAATGATAGGCATTAATCACAGAAAATTCTATTAAGAAAAGGCACTCGCATTAGCACCTTAACTTCTTGCAGTGGTCCAGTGTCTTGTCCTTACACTGGATGACTCACAGTTTCCCCAGTTCTACCTTCAGGGAAACTGTATGCTGTTTCTGGACCTTTATTATTTGCACTATCATGCCCGTGCTGTTGTTTACGACACATACTAGCAATGAGCCATGCAGCCTATGAACAACAACTTAAAAAAACTTATCGTAACCCAAGCAAGATGAAGACTGGAATCAGAAAAGGCCTTATCAGACAAGTAATACATACTGGTTTAATTAAATACCCTGGAGTGTGGTGGCCTTATAAATAAGGTCTAGCCAACATTGATTTGTTCCTATTCCAAGACCCTGCTTATCAACGGTGCAACTATTTCTACATATATTTCTCTTCCTTTCATGCTGTAGAGCATACTGCTTGTGGGAAATGGAGGGAAGGCCAACGGTCCCGACAATGTTTGGTCAGAGCACCTCGTTCCAGGTGATCGCCCACCTTACTGCTGCATAGACCTGCTGTGTACCCCGATCCCGGCCAGTCCTCTAGCCCCTCTTCCCAGCACTCAGGACGGCGGATTTCACATGACCAAAGACCACCCTGTGACAACAGCGTCGGAACCACGGCACTTCCGCCTGCGGCCGGTGGGACTACAAATCCCAACAGCCCCGCGCAAGTCTCGCCCCATACCACCTCCTCCCAACACGACTCCCAGAACCCTCCGCGAGACGCCAGGGCCTCGAAATAGAACAAAACCGGCCGGTGGGGGAGGGGGAAGGTGAGGGTCTCGGAGGACACCGGGGGTTAGAGAGCACTCTGCAGACGCCGAAGACCCAAGCAAGCCTGCCGCCTACCTCTCCCCGCCCCACAACTGCTAGGCGCGGAGAGCGCGGCCTGTTCCCCGCGCCTCCCGGGAAGCTGAGGAAGGTCCCGGGAAGGCTTCCCCGCCGGCTCCTGCTAAGAGGTCCGCAGACCCTAGCCCGGTGTCCCCCTCCCTCCCATAACGTTCCCCGCACACCGGCGCAAACCTCTGGCTCAGGAACCGCAGCAGCTTCGCTGTCCACGGCAGACGCAGAAACACCGTTCACAAGCCTTTTCCCAGAAGCCCCCGGCACGGGCTGCTTCCGGTCTGCGGGCCTGAGGAGGCGGGGAGAGGTAAAGCCCACGTTGCCATGGAGAAGCTCCCCGGGCGGGGGAGGGGCGGCCCCACGACAATGACCGCATTGAGGCTGCGCTTGGCCTCGCGCCTCGAACAGCCTAGCGTCCTCTGGACCGTTTAAAAGAAAAGTAGAGGACTCTACCATTAAGATAGTCCTTACAGTTTCGCAAGCCCTTTCACGTGCATTATCTTGTGGATCCTCTAAGTAATTCCCTGCAAGAAGGAATAAAAGCGAGTATTTGTGAAAGCTTACTACACTGTGCCAGGCGCTCTCGTCGTGCTTTACATGTCATTTATTTTTTCACAAATAAATGATGTAGGAACTTTCATTATCCCCATTGCACAGCTGAGATAGTTGAGGCACAAATACAGTAAGTAACTTGACAAGAGCTCACAACTCATTTGTGGGTAGCAAGATTTGAAACCAAGACGTGATTCAAATCTTTGGCTCCCACTAGTTATGTCACGGAGCTTTATTCTGACCTATTTGTCAGGAAAACTAGATGAGACAGGTTAAGGGTTTTGGCAACGATGTCACGGTGAATTTGTAGAATGCATGGTCATCTTCAAGCTGGGCATTTTATACCATAAAACAGCTGCTGACGCAATCATTTATTACAAATCAGACCACTTCACTCCCCTATTTAAAGCCCTCCAATTTATGCCATAATAATTTATGACATAAAAACTCCTTATAATGTCTTGTAAGTCCCCCATGGTCTGTTGCCTGCCCGCACCCCCAGACCCTGGCGCCCCCAGTCACCTCAGCTCTTCAGCTCCGTGTGGCCCAAGATCCTCAGCCTCACCGCCAGCCTTTCATGACACATGACCCTTCATGGCACTATTATTAATGGAAGTGATCTCATTTATTTACTTGTTTTTTGTTTTGTTTTGCCTTTAAGTCCCTTAAGGGCAGGGACCTTGACTGTCTTGTTCACCACAGCATCCCAGCCTAGACCCAGGAAGCTGACTGCCTGGTAAATAGAGAACACAATAAATGTTTGTTGAATAAATAAATGAATTGTGGGATGGTTACATTGCTGCCTTTAGTTAGGTCACATGATTGGCATCAGACACCACACAAAGGAGCCCTGTTGTTTAAGGACTGGTCAAAAGTGTAGATCCAACCTAACATAAGCATTTCAAGTTCCTCAGGCTTTGACTTTTTGCCTCATTCGGGAAAATGCCCTCTGCAAAGTGCCGTCAGGCTCTGCTGGGTTCGTGCATGAAGACAGCAAGTGAGCCAGCAGCTGATGGTATACCATTGCTTTTCACTCCGACCAGAGCCTTTCTCACAACCCGTGCTAACACTTCTCTCTTCATTGCAGGAAGCTTCAGAAATCCAGCCTTTTCACTCTGCTACTTGGATACGGCCCCCAAGCAGCTTGGCTGCTCTTCCCAACTTTTCCCTCTTTTCTGATTCATAAAGGCTAGCTGAAGTCATTTTTGTTTTATGAGTTTTTACATCTAATTAGTGTTGGAAAACAAAAATCTCAAACGAAACCTTGGGGAAGTTAAAAATGTTGCAAAGTTTTACAAAACCCTTTTCCTGTGATTATATTCTGTTTGTTTCTGTCACCCAGGATGTAGGGCAATGGTGCAATTTTGGCTTACTGTGGCTTCGACCTCCCGGACTCGGTGATCCTCCCACCTCAGCCTCCTGAGTAACTGGGCATTTTATACCATAAAACTGGTGCTGATGCGATTATTTAAAATTACAAATCAAACCACTTCACTCTCCTAATTAAAGGCCTCCATTTTATGTCGTAATAATTTATCTTGAAATGCTTGTGGAAGGCTGGACTTACACTTTTGACAAGTCCTTAAACAACGGGTGTGCTCCACCATGCCCAGCTAATTTGTTTGTTTGTTTGTTTGTTTTTCAGAGATGAGGTCTTCCTATGTTTCCTGGACTGCTCTCCAACTCCTGGGCACAAGTGACCCTCCTGCCTTGGCCTCCTAAATTGCTAGGATTGCAGGTGTGAGCCACCGTACCTGGCCTCCATTCTATTCCTAATTCCTTCTAAAATACTACATGGAAACCACAGTGAGGTTTTCCTCACTAAGTTACTCTTTTGAAGGCAGACGCTAATAACACCTGCTTTGAAACACCATCCTTCTGAGGTCCTCTGGGATTTTTTCTGAATGGTGGCCCTTGTTGCCATCTTAAAGGTCTAGTCAAGATAAAACATCATGTTCCTCTGGACAACCTGAATGGAGGGGGCAGCTTCATACCAGGGCCTGACAATCTTGCACATATCCACATAGACCACATAGGCAATGCCTGAACCACAGCTGATCTGAATCTTGGCAGAACACCTTGGTATCCTCCCAGAAGATGAGCGCAATGAGAGACTTGTAAGCAGCTCCTGCAAGGCCATTTCCCACTCAGCTCTCTGTCTTCCAAAGAGACTGTCATGAGGCAGTTTCTCATTGCTTCCCGGGTTCCAGTGAGCCATTCTGCCTTAGCCACTTAGAGTACAGCCACAGGTTATAACAAGGCTTAGCTGCAGCATGGCATTGACCCCTCAGCAACAACGTGTCCACAACGTATGCTGTAGTCATCCAGCCCCTTCTGTTTTGGTGTCATCATTTTGGTATCTGAGACAACAGCTCATGGAGAGCTGGCACTTGCTTTTGCTTTTAATGTCTGTGTAAATAATAATATGTCTAAATTCAAAAAGGGCTCATTTCTTTACCAGCCAAATCTTTCAACCTTGTCTTGATACCAAACATCTGATTCATCAATTAATGGTAAAACAAACAAAACTACCAGACAGATACTACCTGGGTACCAGAAATATAGAGATTAATAAAATGAAGTCATGATTCCTTCTTTGTTTTTCCCTTTAAAAGAGATGGGGTCTCACTCTGTTGCCCAGGCTGGAGTGCAGTGGCGTAATCACAGCTTGCTGCAGCCTCAAACTTCTGGTAGGGATCCTCCCGCCTCAGCCTCCTAAAACGCTGGGATTACAGGTGTGAGCCACCATGTCCAGCTTGATTCCTTCTTTTAACATTACCATCTCTTATTAAGGAAATAAACAGCAACAACAGAAAAAAAACAAGTATTCACAAGGCAGTGTAGAGCGCTACTAGAGAAGAGCAGAATGCCTGTAAGGGTTCCTAAATGAGATGGTGTGCTGAGAGGGAAGGGAGGCACCCTGAAATGGAGGAAGCCAGCAAGAAGTTTTCAGGCTGGGCATGGTGGCCTGCACCTTTGGTCCCAGCTACTCAGGAGACCGAGTTGGGAGGATTGCTTGAACCTGAGGGGTTGAGGATGCAGTGAGCTGTGATCGCATCACTGTACTTAAGCCTTGTGGACAGAGCAAGATCCTGATCAAAAAGAAAAAAAAAAAAGTGTTCACATTGGAAGGAAAGCATAGACCTTCAGATTTGGTGTTATCAGATTCCATCCAAGACTGATTTTTTTTCTAGGCTTTGGAGCTCTCAATCCCCTTCAGCTCAAAAGTATCTCCCTCTGGGCGCTTTCAGTACATTGCTTAAAGATTCCATTTTAGCTAGTAAGTATACAGTATGAGGAGTCTTTTGATTGCAAAACCTAACAGGCAAGCATTGTTAGCTTCCTACACAAAGTGCTTCCCCTTACTTCTAATACACTCCTGATTTTTTGGATGGAGAGCTGGGAGTGTGCCCAGCTGTAAGAATAAATTGTAATTGAGCTAAGCTATCCATGACCATTCTGCTTCCCTGTGCCAGATACTGCTTTGCCTTGCTGGCAGCGAGGAATGAGTATGTGATTCATTTCTGGTCCATGAGATATAAGGGGAAATAGTTTGTATCTTTGAAGAAATTTATCTAATTCATTTAAGTTGTCAGATTTATTGGCATAAAGTTCACAATTATTTCCTTAATAACTTTTAATGTCTAATAATACTAAATAGTTCCTTAATATCTTTTTAATGTTTGTAGAGATGTCCCCTCTTTCATTCCTGACATTGCTAATTTCTGGTTTCTTTTTTCTTAATCAAGACTTCAAGTTTTGCATGAGGCTTATCAATTTTATTAATTTTTCAAAGAATCAACTTTTGGCTTTGTTTATTTGTTTCATTATTCTCTATGGAGTTCTTCTCTTTTAATAAAATTAACTGACAGCAAAATATGGCACTTTTGGCGGGGGGCAGATATTTCTGAGTTTTAGATTTGTGAAACGACCACCAAAATCATGATACAGAATAGTTCCATCATTCTGTAAAACTCCATCAAGTTGTACTCACGCCTTTGCCACATCCCTAATTCATGGCAACCATAGATTTGTCATCTGTCACAATAGTATTGACTTGTCCAGAATGTAATAAAAATGGAATCATAAGGTATGTAATCCCTTAAGGCTGGTTTCTTTCATTCATCATAATGCCTTTGAGATTCATCTATGTTGCCATACGTATCAATAGTTGATTCCAGTGTATTTTTCACTTTAAAAATTTCTATTCGTTTCCTCTTTATATCTTCCATTTCTTTCCTGATATATATCCTTCCATTCATTCACCCTTACTTTCAAAGCATGGTTATAAAACTTGCCTTAAAGTTTTTTCTGTGAATCCTAACGTCTGTATCATCTAAGTGTTGGCATCACTTGATTTTTTTTTCTCTTGCAACTTGAGATATTCCTGGTTCTTTCTGTGCCTAGTAATTTTGCATTGTATCCTGCACATTTTCAATATTATGCTGTCAGATCCTGGGTATTATTTAAGTCATAAGGAGAATGTTGATGTTTTTGTTTAACAGGCAAATGCCCTAATTAGGGTCAGATTGCGAGTTCTGATCTGCATTGTGTGGGCTGCAGTTTCAGTGTCAGTTCAGGTTTCAAACATTTCCAGTTCAATTTGGGTCTTTGTGTGTGCCACCCAGTGGCCAATCTGGGGCCTAAGCGGTAGTCTATCTTGTAGCTCAGTTCTAATGCTTGTGATGTGCCAGTTAGGGTCAGCTCCACACATGTGCAGTTTAGAGGTGAGCAGACGGGCTCTTACAAAACTTTAGGGGATCTCACTTGATCTCCATCCTCTTTGCAATAACTTTATCACTTTTCTGGCTCCCTGGGGCCTCTCTTACCAGTTTTTCAGCTAGAAAGCTGAGGTTTTAGTTTCCTGGTTTAGTTCTGCTGTTTACTTCTCCCAACTGCATTCTGAATCCTGGTCCAAGCAGCCAGAGGACACAGAGAAGATAAAAGCAATGGGGATTTGCTCCATGCTTTTGGGACTAAAGCAGCTCTGTTCAGAACAAAGTATTCCTCTCCCTCTGAGTTTAAAGTGCCTTCCCACAGCCTGGGTGACACAGTGAGGCCCTGTCTCTAAAATAAATAGATAATTAAATAAATTAATTTAATTAAATGCCTTCTCAAAGACTACTGCCATTGCAGTGCTGCTGATGCCAATGCTACTGTCATAGTATTCCTTGAAGACTGGGGTAGAAGAGAAGGGAAATAAAGCAAAAAATACTGTATGTGGGATTTCCCCATTCTCTCTGACGCCTAGAACCCCCCTTTCCTACTCCAAACTTTATTAGGGCAGGGATTTTTTTTTTTTTAAAGCAGCTTCATTTTTGTTTCTTCCAATACTTTTGTTTTTCATTGTGATAAAATATATGTAACATAAAAATTGATCATTTTAACCATTTTAAGTGTACAATTCCTTAGGCCAGAAACAGAACTCTTATCTTGGAACTTTCTCTTCATTCTCGGTGTGCACTTCTGGGTTTCAGGCTGCCTTTGAGTCTAGGCAAAGAGATGCCAAGTGGAGAAGATAGTAAATTCAGTGCTAGTTTAGTAGATTTCAAATTCTGTCCTCCTTCCCCAGTCTGCTTGCTGTCATTTACTTTGAAGAGTCCTCAGATTTTGTCCAAACTTTCCAATTACTGTGAGAGATGGGGTCAGGAGGAGTGTGCTTACTCTATCTTCCCTGGAGTCAGAGCCTCCGTTCTTGTTTTTATCATTCTACGCCCCCTCCTACTTACTTGGCTTAAGTTGCTTTTTTGTTGTTTTTCCCCCTCGTTTATAAATGATTAGATAATTGATTTTAAATATTTATTCTCTTCTAATAAAGCTATTTGAAGGAATGGTACATCAGGGCTTCAGTCTTGCTTTCCTGTAGTTTTCTATTTTTTCCCTTCACATTTATCTGCTTAAAATCCTTCAGTTTTCATAGCTCTTTCCTCCACATGTATCAGCTTCATCTTCCAGCTGATGCAGCATTTCCTAGCATCGTAACCAGTCACAGTAACATGTGGGAATAGGACGATATCATCTGTCTCTTTTTTTTAGAAGAAAGCAAGCTTTTCCCAGAAGTCATGGGGCAGGCTTCTCCTGATGTCTCATTGGCCTGGATTGGGTGAAATACTCATTCCTAAACCAAAAGCAGGCAGGTGGAATTGTTTTTGTTTTGTTTTATTTTTTTTTTCTTTTTAAAAAGATGGGGTCTTGCTTTGTTACCCAGCTGGTCTTGAACTCCTGAGCATAAGCAATCTTCTGGCCTCAGCCTCCCAAAGTGCTAGGATTACAGGTGTGAGCCACCATGCCTGGCCCACAGGTGGAATTGGATGATCATGATTGGCTTGGACTAATCATTTGGGGTAGAAAAAATATTAAGAAGTCAAACCGTAAAACCACCTAGGTAACAAGACTGGTAATAGCCAAAAAATAAAAAACAAAGTTTAATAGGCTGATCCAGTTCTGATGCAGCACATTAACATGTCCAACTGGAGATATTCTACCTAGAATCCTGACAACTACTTCTAAGATGGATAGAATTGAGCTTCCTAAGCTATATAGGAAAAGATACCAAATGTCTATGTGGTTGATCATTAACTATGACACTGGAGTTCCACACCTTATGCAAGCTGTCTCCCAATGTCATTGTCACCTTTGAATAAAAATGACACTTCAGTTGAAGACAAACCATTTAGACTCAAAGACAACTACGATTAATACACCCAGACAATAATGTACATACATTGAGCAAAATCTCGAGAATCAGCAAAGTAATTAAACATATAGCTTTATACAAGAAAATAATTTTGAATCTAAGAAATTACAACCAATCTTTATGTTATTTCCTAGCCATTCAGGATCTGTGGCCTATATGATCCATTTGAACATTCTTCCAGGGCTCCTTAGATAATCTCATCATCCCCTGTCCTCAATGTTTAGTGGCAAAGGGAACATTATTTGGGCTTACAGTCAGTCCTTTCACCAAGGACATCTGGATTTTATCTTTCAGATTCTTTGCTTTTGAAAAACATTCATTCCACAAGATTTTTTTTTCTTTGCTAGAATATAAGCTTTATTATGGCAGGGATTATAAAAAAGCAGCTTCATTTTTGTTTCTTCCAATGCTTTTGTTTTTCATTGTGATAATACATACATGACAAAAATTTATCATTTTAACCATTTTTAAGTGTACAATTCAGTGGTATTAAGAACATTCATAATGTTATTCAACTATCACCACGCTACATTTCCAGAACTTTTTCATCATCTTAAACAGAAACCATGTATCCACAATTAACTTCCATTCCCCCTACCCTCTAGCCCCTGGTAATCATTATTTGACTTTATGTCTTTACAAATTTGCCTATTCTAGGTACCTCAAATAAGCAGAATCATATTTGTCTTTTCTTGTCTGGCTTATTTCACTTAGCATAGTGTTTTTAAGATTCATCCTTGTAGTATGTATCAGAATTTCATTTGTTTTTAGGGCTGAATAATACTCTCTTGTATGTCTATACCAAATTTTGTTTATTCATATGTAGATGGTCATTTGCGTAGTTTCCACCTTTTGATTATTTCAAATAATGCTGCTATGAACATTGGTATACAGATACCTGTTTGAGTCTCTGCTTTCAGATATTTTGAGTATATACATAGAAGTGGAATTACTGGATCATATGGGAATTTTGTTTAACTTTTTGAGGAAACATCAAACTGTTTTCCATAGCAGCTACACCATTTTACATTCCCAATGGCAATGCACAAAGGTTCCAATTTCTCCTCATCTTTTCCAATACCTGTTTCTTTTTAAAATAATTACCATCCTAACGTTGTGAAGTGGTATCTCGTTGTGCTTTTGATTTGCATTTCCCTAATGATTAGTGACGTTGGACATCTTTTCGTGTGCTTATTGGCCATTTATGTATCCTCTTTGGAGAAGTGTCTATTCATGACCTTTGCCCATTTTTGAAATTTCTGTTGTTGAGTTGGAGGGGTTCTTTATATATTCTAGATAGTAATCCCTTATCAGATACATAATTTTCAAGTATTTTTGTTCCACAAGTATTTGAGTGCCTATTATGGGCCACGTACTGTGCCAGATGCTTAGGAAACAATGGTAAATGAATGAGGCAGCTCATGCTCTCAAGCAACATGAAATAGTGGAGTCAATACAGAAATAGATATAATCTCCATTTAACAGGGCAAAAAGTTATCACATTGCTTCTCAAATGAGCAAAGGAAAATGTAGTTTATTTTTTATAACTGATAATCTTTTTTTCTTGAATCCTTGCCCCACTGGGTGGGTGGGTGGGTGGTGAAAGAGCTGAATTAAATTGTTATATTTAGTTATTAATTATTAAATTGAATTCTTCAGTCCATTTTAAGTTCAACTCCCTCTCATGGCTATTTCTCACTCTGCCCTTTTCTGCCATCTGCTTGAGAAGGTGAGGGGGGCGTACATTCCCTGTGACGAGGTGGTGCTATGGATTGGGTGTTAGGTGGGCTTGCTGTTCTGATCTTCTCTGGTTTTTATTCTGGGCAGCTGGTCTTCTGTGGTGCTTGCTCACCAAACCTGCGGCAACAAATCATCTGTTTGTTTTGGTTGGGCTGGGGATCAGTGTCTCTTCCTTGGTGATTTGCCTCCACTTTGTTTCTAGGAAGAGCTATAGGTCCCCATTAAGCTCTGGTGGGCCCTGCAGCTCTTTGCTACAGGATCCACAAGGTTACTTGCTCAACTATTCCAACTTTCCAGCTCTATAGTCAGCTATTTTCCAAGGTTCCCACCAGGTACAGAAAACTGCCATATCTCTTTCAAGCCACATACTAGCTGACAGAGGCCATTTACCTAACATGGAATTGCCGTTTTTATGAGAGTTCAGTGTTGGAGCACCAGCAGTCTGTTCAACAATTTTCCTCCCAATGCACTCAATGGCAAGGGGGCACAGCCCTCTCCCCCTGATTCTCCCCTAACCCCCTCCACAGTTCTGCAGGGGTTGGGCAGCAGAGGTGAAAGGACACCCTGTGCCTGACCCTCTCATCCTCTCACTCACTCTTTCCAGGACTAGGAGAGCCTTAAAAATATTTCTTTTTGCTACTCTGTAACTTTTTCCACCCCAAGGTGTCATTTATTCTCCTGTTCCTTGAAGCCATATTTGCAATTTAATACTTTAAAAATATTTTATTTCATGAGATAAATGTAATGGTAAGGATAAGAACAGACTGATATGCAATTAACATAAGAGTGTGGTGGTCCTCCCCAACCTACTCTTTGGGTGTTAGGGAAGTGGTACCTAAACTAAAACATGCAGAATACACAGGAATTAGGTAACATGCGAAAGCTAGATAGGCGTTCAAAAAGAGTACATGGAAAGGTCCAAAGGCTGGAGGACTTCTGACAATTCATAATGGCTGAAGCACAGAGGCAATGGCAAGAGCTGAAGCTGAAGTGGTAAGCTGTGGTCAGATCACAAAGAGCCTTAAAAATCTTGTTTAGCAGTTTTGACTTTATCCTAAAACAAGGGAAAGCCTATGTCTTAGACAGGAAAAGGGCATGATAAAATGTATGCCTTAGCAAGATTACTCTGGTTGAGAGATGAATGCATATGAAGAGGGCAAAGTTAAGGGTCACATAATTCCCCTCACTCAGGGACTGACCACCATCTTGAATTTTGCCAGTGTGAGCTGGAAAAATATAGGGTAGGAGGGAGGGTCACAACAGCATATTTAAGTGTTAAAGGGATGGATGCAGAAGGAAGGCAGAGAGTGAAGAAACAGAAGAGAGGAAGAATGACTGGAAGCCAAGGCCTTTCAGAGGTGAGAATGCTGTGAGGCTCAGAGGGGAAAGACCCCTCTCTCATTCTCAGAAGAGGGAAAGGAAATGATGGGTAAAGTGTAAATAATTTGGCAAATTTAGTCACAGGAACTTGTAAGAGTTCTTATCTTTTTTTCCTTTAATGCAGGAAGCAAAACATACTTGTCTGCTCATAAGGAGTAAGGTGACAAAGGATTAGTATGGCAAACACGGTTGGCTAACCCAATGTCGTCCTCAACCCCCATCTGCCCTGCTTTCCCTCTAGAGGTTGAAAATGCTTTCCCTACCACACTTGTAACAATGAAACACAAGCAAGATTTTGATAGGGTTTTTGGAAAGCTTTTTGCTTAGCATGGCTGTCTTTGTCCTTTCTTCCTGACTTAATCCCAGTTCCTAGAGCTGTGACAGCTCTCTCGAAAATCGGACAAAATAGCATGAGGTAAAGCTAGACATTCCAGCTGCTGATTAAGAGCCAGCAACCCACCTTCCAGATTTCGGGTTGAAAATTCCTATTTGTTTAAACCACCAAAGATGGATTTTGCAACCAGAAGCATTCCTAACACAGAAAGGCTTGCTGTGTTAAGCCACTGTTGTACGGACAGTGATGAACATTTGACTTGGTCTCTGAAGAGAATAGGAGTGGTAAACAAAAACAAAACCAAAAACAAACAAACCACAAAGGATTATTGGTAACCTTGAAGGCCCAGATAAAGTGAAAGCCATAAAACAATACCAATTTCATTTTGGAGTATTTACTATCCCTGAAAATTAATCAATATAATGGTTAATAATAAATGCTAATAAAATGCTAATTTTTAAAACCAAGGTTAGCTTAACTAATTCTCCTTTTATATAAACTAGTACCATTCACTCATTAGGATACCTACATAACTACGAAATTCAAAGTACACAGAAACACCCTTTAAAGATTCATCATAGACGATATGATTCACGCCACTTTCTGGTGAAGACATTCATATTATTCACAATAAAGAGAATGCAACCTTACAAAGTTGACAGCAGCACCAAGTGAAGATAGGTGCTTCCTTCAAAATACTTGATTTAGATTCTGCCATCTTATTCACACAGAACCTAAGAAACTCTTTCCGTATTTAAGCAGTAATTCACAATATACACATCTCTGAGGCATTTGTTGTTTCAACAGATGGTTAGTTCCTCTCTGTAATTACAAAGAGAATGGGCCCCAAATGAAAAGCATCCTACATTTTTAGTGACTCAAAATACACACAACTCAATATAAAATTCATATTCACTAGAACTACAAATCATAATCACTATTAGAAAATTCTATAATAAAATGTACACTCACTTCTTCTACTAATCTTATATTTATCAGCATAGTAACTAAGTAGACTGTGGTAATTCCACATATTTGGAGCTCCTCTAAGCCAATTTCTGGAGATACTCCAGAAGATACGGTTGGATTTTCCAAGAATGAAATGTTTTACACTTTATGAGGAACCCAACCAGACAAAGAAGTTGACTATGAGTCTTTTCCCTTATTCCAAGGACTTTGATTTCTGATGTTTGCCTCCATATTGGGTAACTGTAACACCATGGAAAACACAACACATGTATTATTGTAGTAACATTACAGAGTTTTATCAAAAATCTCTGGAAAAGAGATAATTATGTTGTTTTTATACTGTCAGAATAATTTTAATAATGTATGATTCAGTAATTTTATTTTTCAACAGGGAATCTGGCTGAATTAAATACAGGCAAAACTTATAGCTACTCATATCCCATATATAAGCCAAATAAGATATCCCATAAATGTCTTAAAACTTATAAACTATAATGTTTAGGTTCAACAATTGTTTATAAGGGACTGCAGTGGACCCTTTACATTGAACTTCAGTGATTTGTCCATATGTACAAGAGCATCAAAACCAGGGTCTCATTTCATGACAGCATGTCTAGAAACTCATCTTACTAAGAAAGCAGACGACTCTGAAAAGGTTGTCTTGTGATGCCTGAAACATATTCATAGCTGATTTGTGTCAGAAAAAGGGACATTGAAGCATTGTCATCAGCAGTTAAGGGCTTCCTCTAGTTAAGCTGTGGTACATTTCTCCATCACACACTGTACTTGCCAGCACTTGTGGTACATCACTCGTTTGACAATTTCGTTCATCTCCCTTTTTTCTTTATATTAAGATGATCATCATCTTAATTACAGAAGCACCCACAGAATAATATTGCTATGAAAACATTCCTTGTTTAGCTGACTCCTTGTAGACATGCAGTCATTTTCATGTTTCCATTGACTTATTTCCAAGTTACATTGCAAAGGAGATTATTTTTTTCCAACATAGGAAATTCACTTGATATCAGTAGTATGGAGGCTCTTGTGTGCTTTCATAAGAGATTAAGGCCCTTTATTTCTCTGCCTCCTGAAAGTGACCTGGGACACTTCAGCCTAGTCTTGAAGTACGTATTATTTTGGGCCTCTGCAATCCTATGTTCATATTTTGAATCTGGTAACAGAAGACAAAATAGGAATTTTATTATTTTATTTTATTTTATTTTAGAGACGGAGTCTCGCTCCGTCTCTGAGGCTGGAGTACAGTGGCATGATCTCAGCTCACTGCAACCTCCGCCTCCCAGGTTCAAGCAATTTTCCTGCCTCAGCCTCCCAAGTAGCTGGGATTACAGGCGCATGCCGCCACGCCTGGCTAATTTTTTGAATTTTAGTAGAGACGGTGTTTCACCATGTTGTCCAGGCTGGTCTTGAACTCCTGAGTTCAGGCAATCTCCCCGCCTTGGCCTCCCAAAGTGCTAGGATTACAGGCACGAGCCACCGCACCCAGCCAGGAATTTTTTTTGAGTGCTTTAATTTTTGGTCTTTAGAATTCTAGTGCTTAAGTTATGAAATGGAGGAGAATATCTATTTTTACACTGAGTAACTCAAACATTCCTTCTCAATGAGGGAAAAAACAACTTGTCTAAAGATATATACTAGTTCATTATATGTGTTAATAATGAAAATAGTAGAACATGTCTGAGAATGCCTTTTCAAGAGCTGTGTAGGGATGGAAATCTGAATTAAGCTTTGGAATGGCAAACATCAGAATTGACACTGCATTAATAAGCAGGAAAGCAAATTATGCTGACATGAGATCTTCAACCTTCTCTCCTGTGGCTTTCATGGCTCTTGAAAGGAGTCTGGTGCTTACTAAGACCACTGATTTGTACTAAGGAGCGTTTGCACCTTGCGTCTTCCCTTGTGCTGAAATAGCTCTGAGTAAATGCTTTGATTCCCTCATGATACTTATGGGACTTCTTTTCTAATGTGTCTTTTCCTATGTCTAAAAAGATTCGAGTCCTGACGAAAGGCTTTGTCACAGTCATGACACTTGTAGGGCTTCTCGCCAGTATGGGTTCGTCGATGCTGAATCAGAATCGTGCTTCGGCTGAATGCCTTTGCACACTTGTCACATGCATAAGGTTTCTCTCCACTATGGATTCTCTGATGTAAAAAAAAGGGCTGAGCTCTGACTAAAGATTTTGCCACATTCATCACATTTGTGTTGTTTTTTCCGAGAAGGGTTTCCTTGTCTCCTTTTAAGCCTACCGTCTTGCTCATAGGTTGCTCTATATGTGGAACTCTGGGAGGCATTGATATAAAGGATGTTAGAGACATTGCAGTGCAGTTCTATGCCTAAAGAAGTCTTCTGCCTTGCTGCGGATTTCACATTTGTAGTTTTGATGTCTTCATCTGAAATAGAAAAATGAATGTCATCAGGAAAGAGAAAAAATGATCCAAATGAAATATACATGATTATTGCTAGCATGTTTATACAACAACACACAATGTGAAGGATGGAGAGTGTAAGACAAAATATTGAGAAGATTATATAAGACAAAGAGAAAGGTTTACATACTGAGGAGGCAGTCAACTACACTATAAAGATGAAAAGTTCTACGGAAAAGACAGAATAAGGAATAAGGATAAAAAGACATCAGAAACTAAGGAAAGTCTGGAAGGAAAGAAAGGGCTTAAAAAGAAGAAATGATTGGAGATACAGAGAGATAGCTTGAAGGAGAGGAATCCAATGCGCCAGTGGGAGTAAGAAACAAGATTTAGTACTGGGGTATCAATAAACAAATAAAAGCTAAATAATCATAAAGGAATCAATAACTATACAAAGAAATGAGCTGAAGAAAGCCAAAGGGCCAAAAGGGAATGTGGAAAATAAAGTAAGAAAATATAAGTTAGGCAAATAAAGGGAAGAATATAGACTAGGATAACTAGTACCTCAAAAGATCAAGGGTAGCACAGTACCCATCGATGAAAAACCTCTACTCCTGCATGGATGTTATATTACTGGTTGAATGGCTGTTTGTTGTATTATTCTGTATTACTTTTAACATCTATGAAAAATGTACATGGCTGCTTATGGGCTGCAGTCACTCAAGCGGCACACAAATCTGGCTTGATGCAGAGGGCCTTATGACTCAGGGTGCCTAAAGCTCCAGCAGAACTGCTAACTCAGATGTGAAAATGCCAGTGTAATGTGGATGCATTACCTGAAGAAATCACTTTAGTTATCCTCATGGTGGCATTTTAACTGAAGCTGCTGAAAGACAGGAGCTTAAAATGAGTTTCTAAAAGCAAAGTACAACAGTTTTGGACATATCTGGGGACATGACTTGGCTGGAGCTGAAGTAATTATATAAATAAGATTAAAAGCAACCCAGAGAGGCGCTGATGATAAGTGATCCCCTGGGCCCTCTCAAGGCCTAATCAAAAGGATGGGGTGAGAAAGGTGGTCTGGGGAGAACAGTTAGTGATGGAGTGTGATACTGAATAAGAAAACTGAGTTGTTTTACTCTTTAGAATTTATTAAAAATGGATCTACCTGCTGTCTCTACAATCTCCTTAGAATCACCCAACATAAGCTCAAATCTTAACATAAGCCCTTCCCAATTCCTTCTTAATAACACATCCCATAGTTTCTGTGCCGTGTTCTCTTTCTTGCTGCAGCAAACTAAATAAACCTAACTTAAAAAAAAAAAAAAAACCTACATAAAAATCAAATCAAATCAAATCAAATGGGTCTAAATAGTTATTACAAAAGGAATTTAAAATTATTTCTTGTATTTATTCACAAATGTGGTGTCTCAGTCCATTTTCTGTTGCTTAGAATACCTGAATTTGAGTAATTTATTTATAAAAAGAATTTCTTATAGTTATGGAGATTCAGAAGTCCAGAGTGGAGGGGTGCACCTGGTGAGAGCCTTCTTGCTGGTGGAGACTCTCTGAAGAGTTCTGAGGCAGTGAAGGGCATTTCACAGTGATGGGTCTGAGCATATTAACATGCTAACTCAGCCCTTTCTTCTTGTTCTTATAAAGTTACCAGTTCTACTCCTATGATAACTCATGAATGAATTAATCCATGAATGAATTAATCCATTCATGAGGGCAGGGGTGATAATCCAATTGCCTCTCAAAGGCGTCACTTCTCAATACTGCCACACTTGGGATTAAGTTTCAACGTCAGTTTTGGAGGACACAAATATTCAAACCATAGCATATGGCATACTCATTTATTGTTACTAGTTTAAGTGGAAATCATTTTATAAATGGTAAGGATTCTGTCTCAAATTCATTTTTGCTAGTTTGTATTTCAAAGTGACCTCAATGATTAGTCATTACTATCAAAATCCTGGCATCAATTAATACTTTACAGCACTGAGACCAAGATCATCTCCCAGAAACTTTGATAAGACATGACTCAGTACCACAGAAATCATGTTGTGGCCTTAAGAAATGGTTCTATTATTCTATCACATGATGCTGGTTCTCTCTGCCATGTACTGCAAGATCCTGGACCTTTTGCATTGTTTCAAATTTCTATGAATCTTTAAAAAAATGTAGGAAAGGCCTCCATGAGGACACTCACAGGTAGGATGTGGTTCTTGCCACACCTGGCTTTGAGGTTGATACTTCTGTAGTCACCACCACACCCTGCTGAGTCTGGGATGGTCTCCCTCTCTTTCCTGATGGAAAATACTTTTTCCTGAAAAGACTTTCACTTTTCTAAGTAAACTAAGACAATTTCTAGACTGGAGGTATTACGTGTCCCAGTATAAGCCTTCTGAGAGTCAGTACTTGCCAAGTTAGGGTAAGCAATGTTTTCTAAATCTTTCTAAATTACTGTATTTTCTTTGTGTAGTTTCTTATAAAAATTCCCTTGGAAAAACTCTAACCTTGCTTAGGTATCAGCCACTCCTGAACTATGGAAGCAGTGCTGGAGGGAGGGAAGGCGATGCTCCCAAGTAGTATTTCCCTCTTAATCTCTGGCTCCTATTTTATCCAAGACGATCATCTAGAAGGAAGGTCTCTGCTCAAACGTTGCTTCATCAGAGAGGCCTTCCTACCACTCTATATAATAAGATCCTATCCCCGCTATTCTGTTTACAGTAGCGTGGCCCTTTTATCAAATGAAATTTTACATTGAGTTCCAATATATGAAACAGATGAAAACACAGCTACTCTGGCTGAAGCAGGAGCAAGCAGTCACAACCCATAAGGTCTCTAACTCAGCCTTATTTCCACTTCTTACCTTCATCTAACCCCTTTATTCTTTGTTTTGTTTTTATTTTTTCTCCATAGCACTTATTTGTTTAGTATTTGCAGTGGAAGAACACATTGCTACACAGCTATTCTGGAGAACTTATAGAAAGCAATGCAAAGATCAGTTGAGGCCAGTTGAGGATGTGAGGGAGTAGAGAAATGTATTCAAAGAATGTATGAGAACAAAGTCACCTTAGCAGCAATATGGGCAATTTTGCTACTAGATCCCACCAGTAACTGAGCAGTCATATAGGAAATGATGAGGATCAGTGGTCTCTGGGCTGTGTACCTTGGGGTCCCACAGACAAGCCTCAAGGGCTGCCCGAACATAAAAGGGCTACTTTAAAAAGGCATGAAAATCCTGATGGAGATGTCAGGGATTTAATATCTAAAGATTTTATAAGAATATCTGAAAAAGAAGAACAGAATACTGAAGATCTTCATTTAGTAGGACAAATAACAGAAGTTTCCACAGTAAGAAGATGACAGCGGGAGATTTGAGGCCTCTTGCATAAATCAGCCGAGATGTGTGTGGTGAGCAGAGGGCCCCTACACCTTCCATCATGAACTGAATCCTGCCCCCTCACCATGCAGTCTTAAGGACTGAAGTTCCCATGATGCTCCCTGGAGCTACTTCTTCATGGGCATGAGCTGGCTACTTGGCAATTCCTCAGTGATTTCTGAAGGTGCTAGCTTCTCTGCAATCACGTCCTTCCTTTGTCCAAAAAAGACCTAAAAACAGGAATAACTGAGGCTGAAGAACACCATGAGATTGGGACTTGAGGATAAAATGACAGAGAATAAACTATGCAAAAACTATCATGGACACAGGAAAAGGGAGGTAAAAAGTAGAGCCACCTTCTATTTGCTGGGACACCCATTAGTACTTTCACCCCTACACATCAAGTTGTGCTGACTGGGAATACAGTTTGAGAGCTCTACGCCCAGTGATGTGCCAGCACTCTTGACTCAGCCTGGGGCTTCATCTCCACAGGAATCCTTCTTACCTGCTCTGGTCCATCAAGCTCTCTCTCCACATCCTCCAGCATAGTCACAGCTTCCTCTCCATTCTCTGGATGATGCTTCTGCACCCAGGCCTGTAGCTCTTTTGGGAGGATGGCCAGAACTGCTCCAGCACCAGCAGCTCCAGGATCTGCTCCTTGGTGTGCACCTCTGGCCTCAGCCAGAGATGACAAAGTTCCCGGAGTCGGCTCAGAGTCTCCCGGGGCCAAGGTGAATCCTGGTAGCCAAACTGCCTGAACTGCTGGTGGAAGGTCTCTGGGCTATAGCTGCTGCTCCAGTGGAGGTCAGAGTCCAGATCACAGGTCTGTTCTTCCTCTTCCATCTTCACTGTCAGAATCCCATTATACTCCTCTGAAATTTGTGTTAGGAGTGATGATGACTTTCCCAATTTTGCAGACATTTTGACAGACAAATAGCTCAGTACTGTTGGGCTTTAATCCTCAAGGAAGTAAAGCTCTCCTTATGGACACTCCTTAAATATGATTAAAGAAACAAGTGGAAAGAAGACAAAAGACAAATGCTTCTTACAACAAAACAACTAAGATGAGAAACATAAGACTGTATAGGAAATACTGACCTTAGTCTTAACAGAAATCATGCTTTTATTTATTTATTTATTTATTTATTTTTTGAGATGGAGTCTTGCTCTGTTACCCAGGCTGGAGTGCAGTGGTGTGATCTCAGCTCACTGCAACCTCTGCCTCCTGGATTCAAGTGATTCTCGTGCTTCAGCGTCCTAAGTAGCTGGGACTACAGGTACCTGCCACCACACCTGGCTAATTTTTGTATTTTCAGTAGAGACGGGTTTCACCACGTTGGCCAGGCTACTCTCGAACTCCTGACCTCAGGTGATCCACCTGCCTCCTGAAGTGCTGGGAGTACAGGCATGAGCCACCACGCCTGGCCCAGAAAACATGCTTTTGAAGAATACTTCTTTAAGAGAACCAAATAGCTAAGACTCATTAATTCATATGCATAAGCGATTCACAACTCATTCTGAAAACCATGCCCACAAGGCTACTGAGTATTACAATAAGAGATCACCCAGGATTGCATAGAAGTTCTCAGATAATGGAAATAAGGGAAGCCTGAGAAATGCTATGACTCTGGAGCCAGTTCAAAGAGCCAATCAGTTTTCAGTTTGCTGCAAAGAGCTCAAAGAAATAGTCTCATGAGGGAAGTACTTTCAGCTTTTACTGTTAAAACATTACTTCCACATTAAAGGAACCATTCCAACAAAACAAAACAAAACAAAACCCAATCAGCTGGGCACTGTGCTTGTGCCTGAAATCCCAGCACTTTGGGAAGCCGAGGTGGGAGATGGGAGGATCACCTGAGCCTAGGAGCTTGGGACCAGCCTATGCAACACAGTAGGATCCCATCTCTATTAAAAAATAAATAAATAAATAAGAAAAAAGAAAAACAACAACAACAAAGGCAACCGCACATTCCTTTATCTGAATGTATTTCCATTTTTTTCCATATCCATATTATTTACTTAACTACGTATTTTAAAATACTTAGGTTGTTTCTAATTTCACTATTATAATTAATGCTGGGAGGCACATCTTTATGAATATACGATTTTTCTCCTTTCAAAGTATTTCTTTCAAGCATGTCCCAAGCCTCTGCTTGTTGAGGATCAAAGGAGAATAGCAAATTCTGTCTTGCTATGTATTATCAAAATATTGCAAAAAAGACTGTATCAATTCACAATACCATCACAATCATAGTGACTTGTGAGGGCAACGATTTCTTCAAGTATTATTAGCTCGTTAGCAACAAAGGGGTGGGGATGGCACTTCTCTTTGTATCATTTTACTCTTAAGTATCATCAGTAACTAATCGCATTTTTTTGTTGTTGTTGTTTTGGGTTTTTTTTTTGAGACAGAGTCTGGCTCTGCTGCCCAGACTGGAGTACAGTGGCAGGATCTTGGCTCACTGCAGCCTCTGCCTTCCGGGTTCAAGTGATTCTCCTGCCTCAGCCTCCCAAGTAGCTGGGATTATAGACGTGTACCATCACGCCTGGCTAATTTTTATAATTTTAGTAGAGACGGGCTTTCACCGTGTTGGCCAGGCTGGTCTCAAACTCCTGACCTCAGGTGATCCATCTGCCTGGGCCTCCCAAAGTGCTGGGAGTATAGGCGTGAGCCACTGCACCCGGGCTAATCACATTTTTTAAATTGGGCAGGAGGTATACGACAGTGTTTGTACAACTTCAGCAAATGATGACTACTTTAAAAATCTTACGTGCCCCTCCATCTTCCCTTGTTATGTATCCTGCCATTTGATTTTTTTTCTCACTTCAAGTACTGTTCTAGGTACTGAAGAAACACCAGTGTCCTGTATAAAGCCTGTGAGTTCATAAAGCTTGTTACCAAATAAACGATACAACTTTACACAATGATGTGCTATGAAACAAACAATAGCAGACACACATATTAATATAATTTACAATGTGCCAAGCACTGTTTTAAACACCTTAGTAAAAATATACAAAGGTTAAATCCTCATAAAAGTTCTAGATTATTTTTACCCCCATGTTGTAGATGGGGAGGCAGTCACAGCAAAGCCAGATACTCTGACCAAAGGCAAAGCTGGGGTCTGAATCCAGGCCGTCCACACTTATCCATGGTGCTGTGTGGTTAAGAGGCCATAGGCAGCAAGGGCCCCTGGGGCGACCACTGCGCGTTTTCTCTGCGCAGAGGAGGAAGCGGCGGCAGGCAACCGCACTCCCAGATGAAGAGGGGCCGGAGGAGTCTGAGGAACGAGACCCGAGAGGTGGGAAAGGTTGAGGTCACCGCTTTGGAGCCGTCAGGTACCCTAAGGGATATAAGAGGGACCCCGGGGCTAAAGCAGCCTCTGGAAGAGAGGGGCCGCCCTGTCACTTCAGCGCCAGGCGCAGAATCTGGGCTAAACCTGAGAAGGGGGAAGGAACCTCCGACACCGCACGACGGCCAGAAAGAACTGGGTCCGCGGCGGGGAGGCTTCGGTCAAAGCCTGGGACGCAGGGGTCTTTCCGCCGGGGACGCCGCTCTTGGCTCCACCCTGCTGTGGCCGGAGGGCTACGGGAGGGCTGACTTCCGACAGTCTCCGGACCTCCCGGCCTCCCAGGCTGGGAACCGCCGGGGCGAAGCGGCAGGTGGCGCGTGGGGCCGACGGGCGGCGCGTGGGGCCGGCAGGGGGCGTGGGTTCAGCTGGGAGGGCAGGCGCCGGGGTCTGCCGGGGAAGGACGAGGGGAAGGGGTGCGCGGACTCCCGGGCAGACAGCGATGTGGGGGCAGCGGCGGGGAGGGGCTTGGGGATCTGGGACTGTGTAGAGGGTGCTGTACTGGCGCGCGGAGGAAGGGGTGGCGCCGAGTCCGCCGTCGCCTCTCCGCGTCCCCCTTCCACCGCCCGGGGACCGCCGCTTCTGACCGCGGCCTGGGGGCCCTAAAGAGGCCTCGGGTCTCACCTCCCGGCAGAGAAGCGCCGACCCAGACACCGTCGGGGAGAAACCGGGGAACCGCAAGCTGCGCAACAGCTTCCGGTTCTGGCGGCGGGTGGGGGCGGGGCCCGGAACGCTGGGACGTTGCCACGGAGACGAGCCGCCGCAGCAGCGCACTTAGGGGAGAGAGAACTGGGAGGCTCGACGGGTGAGAATCCAGCTGCTCTGCTCAGTGTTCGGTTCAGTAAACTAGCATTGTTGCTTCGGAAAGTACTTTTGCTTACATTATTCATTTACTCCGATAACTCAGTAAGGTTATTCCCATTTTACAGAAGATAAACTCAAATGTCCTGTGAGTTGCCAAGGATTACAGAGAGGGGCAAATGCTCTGCTGTCTACCACTGAGTACAATCCCCAATACCATTCCCACTCCTGGAGTGGTTACACTCCAAGTACTGACGGTTTAAGGGGCGGGTTTGACATCCGCAACCCCCACGCTTTCACAGGAGAACACAATGGCCCTTGAAAAAGTGAGAACTGACCCACGTAAAATTTGTCACAATACATACACATTTATTTCCTCAGATAATCTTAACCGCAATTGAAAAATAAGTTTGAGGCCGGGCGCGGTGGCTCATGCTTGTAATCCCAGCACTTTGGGAGGTCGAGATCGGCGGATCACATGAGCCAGGGAGTTCGAGACCAGCCTGGGCAACATGGCTAAACCCCATCTCTACAAAAAATACAAAATTAGCCGAATGTAGAGACGCATGCCTGTAGTCCCCGCTACTTGGGAGGCTGAGGGGTGAGGATCACCTGAATCTGGGGTCAAGTGAGTCATGATTGTGCCACTGCACTCCAGCCTGAGCTGCAAAGTGAGACCGTCTCAAAAAAATAAAAATAAAATAAATTTGAGCCTAAATGCACCACAGCCCCACCCTGTGACTTCTTCCTCTAGCCCCTTTCCCTAGGGACTCCTGGAAAATGTACTTGTACTCAAAACTGAGGAATTAGGGAGAGGACAGAGATGCTTGAAAAGCACTTGTTAATTAATAAACAACAATAACAATAACAAAAAATCTCTTTTCGTATGACGCCCCCCCAATAGTATGTTAGTACTGGAATCTGAAGTGAAGAAAGAAGAGGCTGGTTTACTCAGTCTATGACGCCAGGGGACTAGGGAGAGGTTTGGATCCCAATTAACGTACAATAAAACTAAATTTGAAGAAATTCTTGCTTCAAACAAGGGGCTTTCACAGGATAAGACTTTTTGCTGAGGCAGCTGCCAACACAAATAGCAAACAGCCCAAAAGTGCCAGTGGGAATGTGTTTCTGGCGCTGGTGGGTAGGGTAGGTTAAATGACTCACGTCAGTGGATAATTTGAAACGAGGGCAAGGCTTGGCAGTGGCATGAAGTAACAGGAGATAATTTAAGGAGACTATGAACAACATTCAAAAGCTTCAAGGAGAAGGAGGAACTGTGGGATGTGGCAAGAGGTCAGGGATGATGAATTCATGGGTATGGTCCACCAAACAGTCAGATATCAGAGGCCAAAGTTAACAACAACAACAACAAAAAGGGAGCAGACATAAAAGATTGATTAGAAAAGTTTCACAGTCAGGTAGGTAGAGCAAGAACAGGTTTTTGTTTGCTGTTTTAATTTTTTTTTTAATGTTTGGGGGTAAAGTGAAAAGAAATTAGCGGCAATAAAGTCCCAGTAGAGTGAGCACCTACTATATACCAGTAGTATGGTAAACACGGGGAATTCAATGGTAAAATGTAGATTCTTGCCCTTTAGGGGCTAATACACTAATTAAAGAGAAAGATGTATAAATGGACATTTCTAAACAATGTGGCAACATTCTGATGGAGATAACTACAGGATACTATAAAAGCACAAAGAGAGGGAGGTCCTGGGAGAGACTGGGATTGGAGTTGATGGAGAAGGCTGGGATTGGAGTTGATGGAGAAGGCTGGTGTTGACACATTTGAGACTGAGGTACCAGTGTGGGATGTTGTTTAGATTTGCTGGATTAAAGGACAGCGGGATAAGTGGCTGAGGATGAGGCTGAAGAGGCAAACAGCAGCCTAGTTTTAAAGCATTTGACAGGCGGAGTAAAGGGCTATGAACTAAGGTTTTAAGCAGAAACTTGAGTTAGTGGCATGTGCACATCTGCAATTCAGGTAGGGCTCTCTGATAGTAACATGAAGGATAGATTTGAAGGGAGGCAAA